TTCGTGGCATTTACATAAATATGGTAGATAGTGATTAGTATTACGGAGAAAATTAAATCAGGGAGGTGGAGGAATTCTGGAGGGAAGAGGTATTGCATTTTTTAACAGGGTAGACAAGGAATGCTTCACTGAGAAGGTCGTATTAAGTAAAGACCTGAAGCGGTTTGGGACAGAGTCACACGGATATCTGGAAGAATGTGTTCCTGGCAGAAGGAACAGCCTAGAATGTTTGAGCAAAGCAAAGAAATTTGGAGGTCTAGAGCAGCAAGTGCAAGAGAGGGAATAGAAGATGTGGTCAGAGAGTTATCAGATGGTAAGAGTGTGGAGGATAATTTTAGGCTATCCTTAGGGCTGGATTTTACTCTAGGATATGAACCCATTAGAGCATTTTTGAGCAGAGGAGTTAAATTTGATTTTTAAAAGGTTCTAGCTACCTTTTGAGAAGACGCTTAAGTGAGATGTAGAAATACATGTAGAAATAGAAGACCAATGTACCTCTGACCAATCTCCTGACTTCTTTCTCCCTTACTTTGCCCTAGTCACACTAGCCTCTTCACTTCTCTCAAATATGCCAGACATGTTAACATGTTGGGGTACTTGCTCCGTCTTCCTGGAATATTCTTCTCCTAATACATCCATGTGGCTTCCTCTTGCCTTTCCTTTGGGTCTTTATTCGAATGTCACCTTTTCAATGGGGCCTTCTTTGGTCATTCTAAAATCACAATCACTCTCCCCAACAATGCTGCCTGCCTTCTCTACTTTATTGTTTTTCTTTATAATTATCATATCTAGCATATGGTATATTTTACTTGTTTATCTTGCCCTATGCCTATTTCTCCAACTGGAATGTAAGCTCCATGAAGATAGGAATTTTTAAAGTTTGATTTACTACTTAGTGCCTAGAATAATACCTAATACATGTCACTTGCTCAATCAATATTTTTTGAATGAATAAACTAAGAAGAAACGGGAGGAAAACCAGGAGTATATGGTTTTCTGAAATCAAGAGACCAAGCTTCTCGTATTATAATTGCATTGTGTGGTGACAAGTGGTAGTACACTGTGAGCACAGCATAATGTATAGAGCTGTCAAATCACTGTATTGAACACCTGAAACTAATGTAACATTATGTGTCAACTATACCTCAATAAAAAAAGAAAACCTTTCTAATACTGAAGAAGCATTTTTGACTGAAGATATATGTGTATATTTGAGATATATTGAGGTTGTGTTTGCATGGCATGCACACTATTTCGGCTTCAAGGGTTTTGACACAAAATAAGGGAGGTAAATTTCTCCTAACCAGTATCACTTCTTGACCCACCACTGCATATCATGGAATCAAGAGGTAAGAATGAAGAATGAACGGTTAAGTTAACAGTGGTGAAAGGAACCATTATATTCCTGCCATATGTCATGCATTATACTATGCTATCCAACCAATATTTGCCACATGACTACGATAAGCCATTACTCTCATAAGCACTGGGATTACAAAGTGACTTAATTTACTAGGGAATAAAACATTAGAGACTTGTCAGAACAAAGAGATTGAATACATAATAGATGTATTGTACATTTAAACACAATACAACATAACCCAGAAGAGCAAGTGACCCAAGAGCAAGCACAAACTACTTGGGAACATCAGAAAAGGTTACAAGGAGGTGAAACTATTTGTAGATGGAAGCTATGGAAAAATCAATGGAAACTCACCAAGAGAGTTCATCAGGTAGAGGGGAAAACCTACTGTTAGCAAAACTTCAGGTTCCCAAACAATGAACATGAGTAGAGACCTGAAAGCCTAACAACCTCAAGCCCAAAGATAATTTTAATATAATCTTGTCAATCATATGAAATGAAAAACAGGAGAGAAGAGCAAGAAGGCTTGGACTGCAGTTGCCTTAGAGCCGTTGCTGCGTGGTTGGAATAGAGAGCTAAAAATGGAACAAGGCCCACTTGTACGACCTACCAACACTGTGACTATAGTCACCACCCACCCTGGCCAGATTTGTGTCTTGAGAGACAACACACAAGTTATTATCTCCTCTCTTCCTTTGGGTGAGAGAAATGGGGTTGAAGTAGACTTCCATTCCCCAGACTAAAAGTGATTTTAAGTGCTTGATTAGATTGTAAGGGGAAAAGGAAAAGAGAAGATTCTATGATGATTCCTGGCTTGGTCTGCAGTGTAGGTAGTGATGTTTACATTCTCTATATGTGTATATGGGGAATTCAGGATGAGGAACTCATTTGAGAGGAAAGACAATGAGCCCAGTTTGGGATATGTTAATGTTATGCTGCTTGTAGGATGCCAAAATGGGAGTGCTAATTGCAATTTGGAAATACAGGTGAAAAGGCTGGGAGAGAGGTCAGGATCAGCCACTTATGACTGTCTTAAACGTAATTTCACGAACTGATGGGGCACAGCCTTACTAAGACTAATGCAGTTGGGAAGCTGGCATGTCTGGACCTGCTCAGAACCTGGTCCCTTGCAAATTTATCTTGGTGATGGCATGCTGGAGATCCTCCTGATGGCACCACCTGGCCCTGATACCAAATCTCACTGCACAGTTCCTTTTAAACATTGCATGTCACATACTTCTTTCCTCCTACCAGGATTTCTCTCCAATGATCAACCATCATAGACCTACATCTACAATGATGTGTACCACTCCAAATCTCAAATTATCAAAATTCTTATTGCTTCACAGATGAGTATTTGTTTCTCTTTTATCTCCAAACATGTTCGAATTTCCTCTTCCAAAACATGCATGCACACACACTCACACACACTTGCAACTTGTTTTCCTTTTAGCTACTGAACTCTTTCTCCCCTTTAGTTCATGGCCAATCCTTTCAAATAAATAGTTTCCATTTGCAGCTTACACTCCCTAACCACTCATTATTGCCTTAAATCCTTTCTATTTGGGTTCTGTGACTACCACAATAAGACGATGTCTCTCTTCTGCCAAAGACTGACTTCTTGCCAAATCCAATGACCTTTTCTCATATGTCACTCTCTGTAGAAATTAACAGTGCCTGGAAATCCTCTTTTCTTTTGAACTTTGCTCTCCTGGTTCTTATCTAATTTCTTTAACTTTTTCTTATTCATTTTTTTACTCTCTTACTCACTCAACATTTACGAGACACTGAATTTTTTACTTTTAAATGTGTCATAGTTTAATGAAATAAAGTAGTAGGTGGGTTGGATTTAGGCAAACTCATGGGAAACGAGCAAATTAGTGGACATTTGGATGGTGAGCAGATTCAGAATATGGAGAGTTATTCTTATTTATTTATTAATGCCATTAGGTTGTGATAACACTGACAAATCACTTTCACATAGGATATATACTTAACAAGTACACGAACCTTCACTGTTCATTTCTGGATGCTTTATTTCTTAGCAATCCCTCTTCTGATCTACACATGCTTTATTTCTGTGTATTAATACCACAGCTCAAGTCATATCCATCTTTCTTGGTTAAGGAGCCATTTTGTTTTTTCTTTTTTTTT